CATGTAATTTATGTCATTCTCAATATGTCGGTACAACAGGTCAGACTCTGAGAAATAGATTTAATCACCATCTTACAGCCATAAGACATAAATATTGGCATGATACAACATGTCCAGAACATTTTAACCTGGAAGAACATTCAATTGAAAATGTGACTATAATTATAATTGAAACAAATTTTATTAATGAACAACATAGACTAGATCGAGAACAGTACTGGCAAAAAGTATTACAAGCAAAATTAAATGTCTAATTTGTATATACCTTATATTTTCCTTCCTTCTGTTTTCATTCACACAGTGGACTAAAAACTCTATATAGATACATATAGCCTCTATATATTCTTTGTTTTGCGTATTTCTAATTCTAATTTATATATATTTTCTCTCCTTCAATCTCATTTACATAGTGGACTAAATTTCGTATATCTACATATACCTTCTATGTCTTTCTTCTTTTTCTTTGTTTTTCTAAAATAATTATCCTTGACCGAAATATGAACTCTATATCACTATCATTGTTATATAATGTAACGTCAAGAGGTGCAAGTCATTTGTTTATCTAACCTTCAGCTGTACAGACACTCTTCGGAGTGTATCTCTTTTCTACTTTCCATTCTTACTTGTACTATAAATATTTAGTTATTTCTCTAATTTTTGTTTTTCTTTAAATTAATTTAATACTCATCTTTCTACTATGATTTGTCTATTTTTTCAGATCTATATTTTGAAAAAGGCTTATAGCCGAAACATATGTCAAATAAAATTGAAATATCTCTAAAAAATACAAATCATTATATTCTAACTATTTCAAGTTAGAAACTCATTCAATTTATTACTCTGTGTTTGCTACAATACTACAGCTGATACTAGATATTATTTAATCTGTCTAATCTATTTCATATCTTTACAATCCGTATATCCTTAATATTCAAAGCCAAACATATTTATCTATTAATTAAATATTATATTAATTACACGTCATAATGACTACTACAAATAAACCGGTCCTATCTATTAAAGAACATCTACGTCTATTTACGAATTGGATAATGAAAAAAGTTATTGAACGAGATTTAGTTAAAATGCTTTCATGTCAGATAACAAACAATAAATCACGTACTCAAACAGTTCTGGAAATAACAAAACATGATAAATTATCTACTGAAACACTTAAAGATATTATTTCTTCATTTGAAAATTTATATATGGAACAAGAATTCGATTTTCTTAAATCAAGTATAAGCATGTATGCGATTATTCGATTTAATCGAGAATTTGATATTCTTTCTTCTATAACGCAATTAGATGATCTAAAGTTAACATCTCAACAAAGGATATTAAAATCAAATCTTTTAATAGTTCATAATAAATTATTCAGAAAAGATATGTATCTATCCGAAGAAAATTTAGATAATTTATTTATTAATAATAAAGAATCCAGTAAAACATTAAAAGAATATTTAAAATTAAGAGACGATGAATTTACATTTGAAAATATTCTTAAAAAGTTATATCATCTTCAAAAAACTGACATTAACTTTAAATTTCTACAATCTGTACCTGAATTTTTCTTTGTCTACTATGTTTTTCCTCACTATAACTTACAAAATGGTGCATTCTATTTGGAAGAAAAACAAATGACAAATAATTCATCTTCAACAACAACAACGGCTACAATAACAACAGCAAGCTGCACTACAACTACAGGCACTTCTTCCTCTACGAGAACCACACCACGTCCATCTAGCCGTATTAATTCACCAATTATAAATTCTTCGATATCAGATCGTCTTTCTCCATCACCTTCTTCTTCTCATCGACGTTCGACCTCTTTACCTACTGCTAATCGCTTATTAGTATTAACACCAAGGCCTGATCATCAGACAACTATTAATACAAACGATAACGATTTTGATCTCGATAACGACGATAATGATGAAGAAATAAATAATGAAGAAGGGCAACAACAAATTAATGAAATAAATGATAATAATAACTTAAAACAAAAACAAACAATTTTAAATAATTATAATGTCGATGATGATAATGATGAGGAATTAGCTCAATGTCTACATCAATTACGACACGATATGTACGGAGATATTCCCTTTACTGTTCGTCGTTCATCTCCATCTCGACCATCTTCTACCATTCATCAAAATTCTACTACTCATCGAATATTATCACAACGACATCGACCTTCTACTTTAATATCAACAAATACTGATAGAATCAAAACATTTTCTTCTTCTTCAACAAATACTGACCCGATCGATCCATCACATATAAACCAATTTGAAGAACTACATTTAAAATTTAAATATACTTCTTTAAAATTAGAATTGGACTGGATTGAAATGTCAACAATAGATACTGACAAAACAAAATCCAAATATGTAACTTCATGTCAACAAACACAATTATCTGGTACATCAAAGATAATATTTACAACTAATACAATTAGAAATGATATCCCTCCAGAAACTATATTTAAAAATGAATTACATAGAAAAAAACGATACGAAAATCATCTAGCCATACTAAATCTACATAAAGAACGTAATTCTTATCCTTCTGCACTATCATCTATGCCACAACCTACAATTGGAAACGACGATAACGATTTTATAAAGGAATGGAATGAACTGTTAAATGATTCACGTCGTAATTTAATGAATAAAACAATAGAATATATAGAAAATAATTTAATTGAAATTAATGGTAAAATAGAATCAGTAAGAGACTTAATT